TATATATATATATATATATATATGGCTTTTCATGCAAAAATTCTGCTTCTTTTTAGGAGCTAAATTTTAGTCACTTCTCATTTCTGTAGATGCAATTTTTTTCCAGAAAAAAGTGTATCTTTGTAGATTTCGTTATATGTTTTTTTAAGTTTATTAATGGAATGACTAGAAGAAGATAAATGTGGGTTGTTTTGGTTCTTTCTGCCCTTTTACTGAAAATGGTATTCCTTTTCTATAGATACTTGTATTTTATTCTTGTTTTCTTCTTTTCAACTCTTATGGACTTCTCCTATATTATCACTTGTTGCTGAGTCTCTTTGCATTTTCCCTTTTAATCAAAAAAATATCTGCTTTTGAGTATATCTGGATCAGCTTACAAAAAACTGAAGTGAAATGTTAAATATTGAGAATTTTATCTGTCAATGTAAAAATGCTTCTTTCTCTTGAGTTTTGTAGCTATGGGGGACTGGGAGATCTCCATTGCAACATTGATTTGTGACCTTAATTTGTCCTTTGATATAACTTAGAAACATGTAATTGAATCAATCCATAGAATAATTCAAGCATAGGTATCCCCAAGAGAAAACAAAAATGCTTCAAATTTCAGTGTGATCTGTGTTGCATGTTATGTTAAGTATCCCTTATTTGTCCAAAGATAGGTGTTGAGGGATTTGTCTCGAATCTCGATGAATGTTAGAAGAAACAGAAGTTCTTTATTTTCAGAATACTACCTGATGTCTTGTCCTTTCATTTGGAGCTTGTGAATATGCCAATTCTCACATTGCAAGGATTTAACCTAGTCCTTAAATCACTGTTTTTAACCTTTGTAGATGTCGTGAAAAACAAAGGAAGGAAGCTTCTCGTCTCCAGACTGTTAACAGGAAGCTGAGTGCTATGAACAAGCTGCTGATGGAAGAAAATGACCGATTACAGAAGCAAGTGTCTCAACTTGTGTATGAGAATGGCTACATGAAACAGCAAATCAATACTGTGAGTTGTATACTTGCTGATTACATTTCCTTTTCCTCTACATGAACTAATTGGTCTTCTTTGATTAATATAACTTAAATAAATTGTGTATGTTTTCACTTGAACCGTATCTCAATTTGTCTAAGTTTAAATAATTTTTCAGGACACTATAACATGCAGTGTTGTTTTCCTGAAGCTTTACATGAGCTGCATTTAACCTTCTATCTTGCTTCTTTTGGTATGATGAAACTGAAGTTAATTATCGTTGCAGGTTAGCAGCACGACCACAGATACAAGCTGTGAATCTGTGGTCGTGAGTGGTCAGCAGCAAAGAAAAAACCCAACACCTCAGCATCCAGAAAGGGATGCGAATAACCCAGCTGGGTAATCTAATTTGTATTTTTTTTTTTTAAAACTCATCTATGGTGTTTTCTAGTTTAAAAAAACTAATAAGCATTTTTGCCTGTATTTTTAGTCTTCTTGCAATAGCTGAGGAGACCCTGGCAGAGTTCCTTGGAAAGGCTACTGGAACTGCTGTCGACTGGGTGCAGATGATTGGGATGAAGGTAATTCCTTTAGTTGATTGTGTATCTCTAGTTTCTGACTTGTTCATTACATGTATTTAATTGTTTACTTCCCCCTCATTTGACTTTGACATTCAGCCTGGTCCGGATTCTATTGGTATTGTTGCTGTTTCCCGCAACTGCAGTGGGGTAGCAGCACGTGCCTGCGGCCTTGTGAGTCTAGAGCCCACGAAGGTACATCAGTTGTCTTTCTTGCTATGAGTTTTATCTTATTCTACCCTTGTTATGTAAGCTGTAGAAAACTTTTCAGGTTGCGGAGATACTCAAAGATCGTCCTTCTTGGTATCGCGACTGCCGTTGCCTTAATGTACTGAGTGTAATCCCTACTGGCAATGGTGGGACAATAGAGCTTATTTACTTGCAGGTTTGTTGCAGTCACCTGCATCACTTGTTTGTTGGGTTGATACCATGTGATCACATTTTGTTTAGTTTTGTGCTCAATAAAGTGCCATGTGTTTCTTTGTTAGACTTATGCTCCAACTACATTGGCAACTGCTCGTGACTTTTGGACATTGAGATACACTACAAGTTTGGAGGATGGCAGTCTTGTGGTATGTATTAGGCATAATTCAAAACCTTGAGACCAATGTTTCTAAATTCTACTTGCCTATTGTTGCAAAAGCACGCTATAGGCCTATAGCTACAACCTGTCATTTTGTGATAATTTTTTTCTGGCATAAAACATGCAGATATGTGAACGATCTCTGACAACAGCAACTGGTGGCCCAACAGGGCCTCCTGCTACAAGTTTTGTCAGGGCTGAAATGCTACCAAGTGGTTACCTCATAAGGCCTTGTGAGGGTGGGGGCTCAATGATTCACATTGTTGATCATATTGATCTAGATGTAAGGCTCAAAAATGTTGGTTGATTGATATTTTGATTTCAAAAGATTACTGTAGTTGAACATACCCCATCTGTGCTCAGGCTTGGAGTGTCCCTGAAGTTCTGAGACCACTTTATGAGTCTTCCAAGATCCTTGCTCAGAAGATGACTATGGCTGTAAGGATTTTTGAATTTGTTGGAATGTCCATCTCCAGAATGACCAGTTGATTTAATCATTAATAAGTTGGGGAGTAATCTGTGCAGGCCTTGCGACACATACGACAAATTGCACAAGAAACCAGCGGAGAGATCCAATACACGGGGGGTCGCCAACCTGCTGTTTTGAGGGCACTAAGTCAGAGATTATGCAGGCAAGAAGATAAACCAATTATTCAGTTGGAGACTTAAAAAAAAAAATACTGCACTGTCACAGTTGTAAATGAAGATTTTGGCAATGCTATGCTTTCTGCCAGTTTTGACTAGTCTTTTAAGAATTTAATCCTTGATATTTTTACTACAGGGGATTTAATGATGCTGTTAGTGGATTTGTTGATGATGGTTGGACTATTATGGATAGTGATGGTGTAGAGGATGTAACAATTGCTATAAACTCATCTTCAAGTAAATTCCTTGGTTCACAGTACAACACCTTGTCAATACTCCCTACATTTGGAGGTGTTTTGTGTGCCAGGGCATCAATGCTTCTTCAGGTATGTTAGCGTTGATATTTGAATTAGTGTAAACTAAGAGAATCAGCATCAGTTTTCCAATTTGTGGATATGTTCTAATCTCTCTGTTACTTCTTTTATGTAGAATGTTCCCCCTGCTTTACTTGTACGTTTCCTTAGGGAGCACCGTTCCGAATGGGCAGATTATGGGGTTGATGCTTATTCTTCTGCATCTCTTAAAGCCAGTCCATATGCTGTCCCTTGTGCCAGACCAGGTGGTTTCCCAAGTAGCCAGGTCATTTTACCCTTAGCTCAGACTGTGGAGCACGAGGAGGTAGCACAGTCTTATCATGTTCTACTTTATAATTATTACCCTGGTAGAAGTTGTCTATATTCTGTAACAGATGAATCATTTTGTGGATTGACTTTTCCTTTTTATCTAGTTTCTTGAGGTAGTACGTCTAGAGGGTCCTGCTTTCTCACCAGAGGACATTGCTTTATCACGGGATATGTACTTGTTACAGGTTGAGAATTCATACACATCTCAAATTGTATTTTATGTGCTTTTTGACATTTTCGGTTCATTAATTATCTAATTACTGTTTCAGTTATGCAGTGGAGTTGATGAGAATGCTGCAGGTGCATGTGCTCAGCTTGTTTTTGCACCTATTGATGAATCTTTTGGTGATGATGCTCCATTGATTCCATCTGGCTTCCGTGTCATTCCACTGGAACCTAAATCAGTTCAGTAATTTGTGTACAGAACGTCTAGCTTTTCAGTCACTAACTTCTAAATTTTAACTGGTCCAGACAATGAAAATTCATTGTTGACGCTTGAAGAGTATCTAAACAAAAATATGAGGATTGTTTATTCTAAAAGTTCTCTAATCTTATGATACAGGATGTCCCTGCAGCAACTCGGACCTTGGATTTAGCTTCGACTCTAGAAGCTGGAACTGGTGGGAGTGGGACACGTCCTGCTGGTGAAATTGAAGCAGGCAATTACAACCATCGTTCAGTTTTGACAATTGCATTCCAGTTTACTTTTGAGAGTCACTACCAGGATAATGTAGCTGCAATGGCTCGCCAATATGTACGAAGTATTGTAGGCTCTGTTCAGAGAGTTGCAATGGCCATAGCACCTTCTCGACTCAGCTCTCAGTTAACACCTAAATCCTTCCCCGGGTCACCTGAAGCTGTCACTTTGGCAAGGTGGATTTCCCGGAGCTATAGGTATGGCTTTTAAACGTTATTGCTGTGACATTTTCTTACTAACATGTTTTGCATCATTACGTGTAAAACTTCATATCATTAATTAACCTGTCATTGCAATGAAGTAGGAAAATGAATTACTTTTGACCTCATTTTTACTAGGTTCTTTGAACTTCGAAAACTAGTTGATATCTGATTATTTGTGCGGAACTTGCAGTGACGTTGAATGTTTAATCTGGTCTAACTATTTCCTGATTGTATTTTCAGGGTGCATACAGGAGGAGACCTGTTCCAGGTTGATTCTCAAGCTGGTGATGCTGTTCTGAAACAACTGTGGCACCATAGTGATGCAATAATGTGTTGCTCTGTAAAAATGAATGTCAGTAAACTGCTTCTATACTTGTTCTGAACCATAAATTAATTAATGCTAAGTATTTATCCAAAGATTCTTTGTAGAGATGAAACAACACCTAATTAGTTACTGAACTTTGAAATGCAGGCATCTGCAGTTTTTACATTTGCAAACCAGGCTGGTCTTGACATGCTTGAAACCACTTTGTTAGCTCTTCAGGATATAATGCTTGATAAGATTCTAGATGAAGCTGGTCGTAAGGTCCTCCTATCGGAGTTCTCCAAGATCATGCAGCAGGTTAGACTACTACCATCATATTTTGATTATATACTCCCTTCAACTTAGCAAACATGAAAAACAAACCAGTTCCAATAAATATCGGAACAAAATTTGATACTGCAGTATTTAGCACCAAGCAAGTTTGTTTCGACTTCACAAGTGCTAGAGCACTTGTCAACTACATGCTATCAACTCATACAAGAAAATGTTGTATAGGTAGTAAGTGAAGAATTTAACAAATTGTTCTGTTGTTCTTTTAGGGATTTGCCTATCTGCCAGCAGGAATATGTGTATCTAGCATGGGTAGGCCAATATCATATGAGCAAGCCATAGCATGGAAGGTTCTCAACGACGATGATTCCAATCACTGTCTAGCTTTCATGTTCATAAACTGGTCTTTTGTTTAAGTTGTAAAACAGATAATCTATATAAGACTTTGGCATTATCAACCTTCTAAATTATGTCGGCACTCTGAATGTTTTTAATTTAAAGCTTGTATGACAATGTTGGCAAGGCTGTGTGGTTGGATCCCAACTCTATATCTATTGTAGTAGGAAATGCCCTTTCTGTTATCTGCAGGGTCCTTATTTTGCTGCCTATTCAATTATGTTGGATGTATTTAGGGAGTTAGATTGTTTTGAAACTGAATGTCTCCTTTTGTGAGGAGTACTAATTAGGTGGTCTGCCTAAGTTGGTTGAGGCAATTTGGATGTATTGCAGTTGGTACCACTTGAGTTTGTTTCTTCAGAGTCATTTCACTAAAGAAGATAGTACATTCTAAAAGATGGTTTATCAAATGTGTTTCTTCAACAGGAAAATGTTGATTTTCTAGTGTGACGTGACTAGCTTGTTTAACCTCTTTTCTATTTACTACTCCATAGTCCATCCATTTAAATTTTTTTGTTTGGTTTTGATTTGGCATGTAGTTTTAAGAAGTAAAAAAGTCTTTTGATTCTTGTGATCTTAAATTAAAATAAATAGGTACAATGTACCAAAATATTTTTTAAATTTTGTGGTCTTTCAACATATAAATAAAAAATTTAAATTAAAGAGTTGTCATAAATCGAAAGAAATTTCTTTTGAAATAGATTATAGAGGAAACAAACAAATTAAAAATGAAGGAGGTCAATCTTGGCCGGATCCAACTGACCACCTCTGCGAACGCGGGACCTGGTCCGCGCACACAGGACTTGGTCCACGAATGTTGAGCGAAGCATACCCTTACACCATGAATGCGAATGCGGAGACCAAACCCAGATGCACAAGCAAAGGCTGTATCAACTGAACATTAAGAGTTGAAAGGCTTCGACGGGGTGCTCAGGAATTCTTCGGAATCCCGTGCGCGCAAACAAAATATGCTATTCCATCAAATTTGGAATTCGAGACTCAATAGATCCATCGAACTTTCATACGAGATCATCTCGAAGAAAAATGGGTCCCTCACCCAAGTTCCATTTTAAACTAAAATCTGTAAGAAGACTCAAAATAAGATTGGAAGCCTCAGAAACCGCACGAAAGCTCATTCTACACCAAACTTGACATTCGGAAGTTTACCGTGCTGACAAATACCAAGAATATTGAACGAAGTCAAACCTTGACTTAAGCTTTAAAGTTAAAACGCCTAACGACACCAACTCACATCGAAAGCCTCGGGGACCAAACCAATCATGCCCCTAGCCTTAAAGTGGCCATTTCAGAGTTGATGAAACCGTCAGAATTGCATTCTGAGGCCGTCTTCCTCAATTTTTTACCAAAGTCAACCGTTCAAGTTTCAAAGGCTCCAAAACACGGAAACTTGCACAAAACTCAAACAAACGACCCGACAACCGAACTATCAATCCCAGCAAGTCATAAATAACCTGGGGCCGCTACATGAAAGCTCTAATTGCTAAACAGATCGGAAAATAGCGGAAATGACCTGGAGGGTCACTACAACAAATTACATCAAAGTACTTTTATGTATAAAATAAAATTATTAAAATTATATATATAATGTCGAGTTAGTTTGATCTCGAGTTGACCTTTTAAAGTTGAAACCAAATCAATCCAAGTATAGTTGAGTTTGTTTCAATACCAAACTAAAGTCAAATCAAACCACTAGTCGAACTTTTTTCTCGACTTAACTCGATTTACGATTTAATGTAATTTTCATTTCGACTTTGTTCACCCCTAATATTTGGTATCTACCCTACCATGTCCTCACCTACATCTAGGAATTGTTTCCTTCCATTTTAAATTAATACCACGTCTTTGAAAACCTGATTTCAATTTGTATCTCAAGAACATGCATATATTTATTAAAAAATTGGTAAAAACATTTTTGTGTGAGGACCGCAACATGATTAAATGTGAAAGGACAGAGAAAGAGTTTGTTGTAAGTTTGATAAATCTTTTTCCCTCTGTGAAAGCAATGAGACAGGGGAATTTGCAGTGCACATGAAACCCAAAAGTCAAAACTATTGGGACCACTATATGGTAGGGACCTTTAAATTTAAATGTTGCAAGTAAAATTTAGTTGAATATATGCATGCAAGTATTTTATTTTTTTTGTGAAATAATTTGCATATATATGAGGGGAATGTCCGAATTTGTTATGTTCATGCTTTTCGTGGTTAACAAAGCAAAGACGACGGTATGTGTACCTTAAACTTGCAGCGGAATGAGTTGAATTTGCTATCAATTTGAAACAGCCCAAATGGACTTCGTCTCTCGAGAAAATGGAGTGCAATTATCACAAACTAAGTGTCTTTTTAGTATGTTGATTGAATTCTGAAAAAAAGATACGTTTTTTCTTTTTCGGTTTTTGTTTTCTATCTCACCTCTTTTTTCAACCAAAGAAGAAGACTACTCTTATAAAGAGAGGTTGAAGAGTAACTAAGTAGTAATTGTTCCCTCTTCTTTAAGAAAAAAAATAGAATTATCCTTAATTATTTCTTTTTTAGAAATTAAATAATATTAGATCGGGTTGGTAAGGTCGGATCAGATTGGGTCGGTCCACATGGGCGATTCAAGACTCAATTTTTTTTATATCTCCCACTTCACATATGGCGGACAAGACCCAAGTCAATATGATATCAACTAGACACACAATTCATACGACAAATAGTTCGTGCGATCTGTGAGCATCAAGGCTCGCCTTCAAGGTTTTACAAGCCCTACATAGGAATCGAATCACACGTGGAAATAATTCACTACTAATATAAGGATATATTACTCACAATACCTCATACTTCATTCACTACTTCAGTAGTTACTTATTCGATCCCTCATCCTCTTAAAGAGGTTAACTCGAGTTCATGTTTAACTTTATATACACAATTACACTAGACACCAATATGGTTAGTGTAATAGTCGGCTTGTGTATGTAAATTACATTATTATTAAATTAATCATCTTTCTTTTCTACTTGAATCTATCTGTTACAATTCAAGTGCTTTCTTAGACATGCACTACATTGCCAAATCATTCATAACTATTAGCAACATGCTAAAGTACCAACATTGACTGAACCTTCAAGAATCAGTAAATGTCTAAGGGTATTCCAATAAAAAATTAATTTACTTTTCGGGATCTCACACAATGAAGAATCAGGGAACCATTCTTTCATTAATCCATTGATCGCTTGACACACGTAGTATAAAACACGTACTACGATGTTTTCACCTCATATTGGTGCATGTGCCTCATTCTTTCGATTATCCAACATCGTACAGACCTTGGTCTAAACACCTCTAAATGTTTAACCCCAGTTTCTCTCTTTGGTGATCCTTAAACTCATTTTCTTAGAGCGTCGCTTGTCTTGTTTATAAAACAAGTCATAACATGCTAGTGAAAATCATCTCTTCACTTTCTCCAATGAAGAGGTGATTGCTCGTGTGAGAGAGTCAATCCCGTGACTTATTCGATACTCTTTATTCCTAAAATCATTATCACATGCATATGAGATATGAATATAGATTCAGAATAGTTATGTATTGATGAGAATATTATAACAACCAAGTTATTTTACAATACATAAATGTTATTATATCCTACACAAACCTAAAGTCTTAACATGTTTCTCAAACAAGTCTCTAGATATCGCTTTTGTAAAAAGATCAGCTATCAATTCACAAGTAGAAAAATACTTGATGTCAATATGTTTGGCCTTACTATAATACTTAGGATTCATTGTGATAGACACTTGACTGCCACAATATATAATCATGTGACCCTTAGAATTCATTGCAATATTCAAATTCTAAAAGAATTTCTTTAACCAAATAACTTTTTGTACTGCAAATGTGTAACACCTCAAAAATTGGAAATTTAAAGTTGAAAAGATTTTTTCCCCAGATTTTAGCACTGAGGCAGTGACTATGAGTCCTTTCTACGGATCGTAGGAATTTCTACGGGCCGTAGGAAGGGAGTCATAGACTTGGAGATGAGTTTTTCGAATCTCAAGTTTCTGAAGTTTGATCTACCGATAGACAAGACGGGTCGTAGATGGGTTCCGTAGAAAGGTTCCAAATTTAGTGAAATTTTGAACTAAAAAGTTGGTAACTACGGATGGGATCTACGGACCATAGGAAGTTCGACAACTCGTAGGAAGGTCTCGTGAGAAGTGAGGTGCATTTGGTTTTTGAAGTTGGTTCTACGGTTGACCAATACGAACCATAGAAACTTCTACGGAATGTAGGTTAGTCCAACAGTTAATTACTAAGGGTGTTTGGGTCTTTTCCTATGCATTTAATGCCTACACTATGTTATTTTGACCCTAATTTCAAGTCCTATAACTACCCTTCTACTCCAAAAACTACCCCAACTCTCTCATGCTCTCAAAACCTCAAATCTCATCTACATTCATCTTCTCCAATTCTCTCTTAAGTTAAAGAAGAAAGCTAGGGTTTCAAGTCTCCTATTTCTCCATTGCTTTTGGGCTTTGACCATCAAGATATGTAGGAATTCATCAATGAGTTTCATTCACCCATTGAGACCTAAAAGATTTCAATTCTCTAAATTCAATTTCACCTAAATTGCTTAGGGTTTCATGTGATCTCCATGGGTCTTAATTGATTTTGATTAAATTTTTCAATTTCAATCTTCCTATGCATGTTTCGATTAAACTACATGAATTCCAATTGATATATATAAGACCCATGAATTATTCATGATTTTGGCTATAAATTTATGAAGAAAGCTTTTAAACTTATGAATATGATTTATGAAAGGCATGCATGATCTACGATTTAAATGATGTTTATAATCTAAGGTTCCTATTTTTAGGATAATTTGAAATTATGATTTGAACCGGAGAATCATTGATTTTTAATCAACATTCAAATTTTGGACTCCAAATTTACGACCGAACACTTACTAAGAGAAAGTGTTTTTTTATTTTTTTTAAAAATGTGGAGGATTTCATAGAAATTGAAAGTGAGTAATTAATAGTTGTTGTGCTAATGAATACTTTGGCTCCTCTTTATGCTTATATGCCAAATTCAACATGTTAATAAACCCTGACTATTGAATTTTGATTATTAAAGAGATAATACAATGTTGTTAAGAGTAAGTGTTGTATTATTATTAACTA